TTACGAGCACTATCTTTAAATCATGTAACATTAGAAGAGGTAAGTTCTTTTTTGAAGATTTATTAATAATAAAAACATATATGATATTTATTTAGGGTGAATCGATATTTAGTCCTGAATGTTTATCGAAATTAAAACATCTTGCTCGTATTCGTCTTATTTTTTCACTTAAAATTGAACAAAATGAGTATTGTTTACGACTTGAACGACTTATTGCACAAATTCTTATTCATCCATCTCTTCGACATGTTATTCTACAAACAGCTCGTTCACTTGATTTTTCACAATTACAATTACCATCTCCTGTCGAATATCTTGATATTGATTATTGTAGTTTTCAAAGTTTATATACACTTTTTCAATTTACACCTAGTCTTCGTCATTTAACTGCAACTATTGCAATATATGGTGAATCAAATACTCAACAGACACCAATATTTCCTGTACTTAATTCACTCAAATTAAATTTAAGTATTCCGGCATTTGATCATCTCCTTAGTTTTCTAGAAAAATTTCCTAAATTACAAAAACTTCATATTGTTACTTATTCAGTTATTGAACCATTAACTTTCACTTCATCATGGATTAAATTAATTACAGAACATTTACCTGTCCTATATAAATTTAAACGAGAATCAAATGTTCCATTGGAAAATATTGAGGAATATATTAAATTATTTCATTGGTTAAATGGTTGGAGATCAATAGATAAAAGTGTACCAAATGGATCAAATTATTCTCGAATGACAGTCATAAATATTCGATATTAAATTCTATTTTCATGCTACTACGAACTAGGAATTATTTATTTTTTAATCATTATATATTCAATAAAGCAATCATTATTTATTCTATTAATAGCTTAAATTGTATAATACTATTAAATATCGATGAACGTTAAAGAATTATACATTCTTTGTCAATAACTGATTAATTACAAGAATAGTTATTGAAATTTAGTTGTGAATCGAAATGAATAGATTACCCGTTTTTTTTAAAGGAAGGAATGAATGATGACTTATTCTTTCACCGGTGCTTTTGTTCATTGTAATCGATGTTCACAATGAAAAATGAAGACAGTTTTTCTTTCTTTTCTAATGAATACAAAGAAGAAAAGAAAAAAAACTTGTTCATTGATGCATATGCACAAATATAAACATAAAATATCTAATGATGAAACATGAAAAAAGAAAGAATGATCATTAACAATTAATAATAATGAAATCATTTACATCGAATATAGACGTATGTCATTATGAAGAAAATTCATTGAGCGATCTTTATATTTTCTTGTTCCTTGAAGAAAATTTCGATTCATTCGATGACTTACTTCTTTTTTTTATTATGATTTTAAATTAAATTATTGTTTTATACTATTCATATACAAACATTCTTTT